CAATTTCTCAGTGTGATTCAGAAGTAATAACGATAGTATGCTTTTTACTACTGTTCAACATGATTCACTCTCAAGGCTATGAGTAAGCACCGACTGGCTTGGAGTTGCAGATACAGTTCGTATTGGAGACTATTACTATGTTAATAAGTTCGTTAACGGAATGATTCCCAGTGGAAGTGAAACAGCCTTAAATTGGTATTTCGAGATTTGTATGATGGATAGCAATCGTAGGTAAAACCAAAACCTGGGTCATAGCAACAATCAAATCAGTCACCTCCAGATTCCTGCCTCAGAGGTTTATAGACTGAAGTATAAGAGTTAGCTGTTAATGAAGGATTGGTTCAACTGTCATGCAGTCCGAAATTTCGCCCAGTTTACTAGCCTATAATAAGCCAGAAAAGACGGTGGGTTGAGCGTCGGGGTAGCAACCCCAGCCCTCATGCAATCCTGTGTCCCACTCTGAAGGCAAAGAATGAAAACGGATATTCGGAGGGAATAGCTAAAACCTCCACTGTTTATAAATATAACCACATTCGTTAAGAAGCATTTTCTTTGTAAGCTTGAGGTGATTTTTTTCCATCTGGTTATTTGCACAACTAGTTATTTTTCAGAATAGCCAAGTAGCAGTTCTATATTACTTGGTTATCAAGTATGAAATACAGATGTGTTAGACTTCCATACAGTCCATAAGTAACGAGACAGAGTTATAAGTAATCTTAGTGCTACATTGCTTACCCTACTGACGGAGGGTATTCTATTCATCGATCGACAATTTTCAACGTCTCAACTGCTAACCAATTCATAAACAATGTTGTCCAGAAATACTTGGCAGTCAGCCAAGTCATCGTTATGTATGTGTGCTGAAAAGAGAATCAATCGAAAAGGTTTCTAGTGTCTTAATTATTTAGCTCTTTTTCATTTGAAGAAAAAGTAGTCAACAAAAAGTTATTTATTCCTTGTAACAAAACGTAAACGATGATGATGATAATGATAGCGCATTCTTTTGCATAAACTTGAGGTGAAGTCAGATTATAATAGACTTTATACCAGAGTTCAATTCAATGTCTTATAACAAAGCACAAAGCTTTAGTAGACTGGTTTGCAATTAAGACTAACGGTAAATGTTACATTGTTAAATTTGTCTGTAGTACGACCCATTAGAACTAATAATAAGAACAGTTTTTAGCAAATATTTTGTATACCAACCACTTTGATTTTACTTCTATGTGATATGCTGTGTTAGTTCCAGTTATTTGGAAATTTCGGAATATAGTGTTGCTCATCATTCTAGTACTCTATTTCACTCTTCTGCATTATATAGGGATAAGTAGATATATGAAAATTTTAGTCAATTTATTGTCAAATAGGTATGCACTAGCAACTAGTAATAACTTTGAATGAATACACAAATTTGTCTGTGGGATACACTGATAAGAAGAGGTGAAGTTACATAGCTATCCACCCAACTAGAAAATCAACACAAAAATACGCATAAGTTCCAGTTGCTGAAGGAAACAAGAGGGAACAAATCTGATCACACTCGAATAAGCAAAACTAGATGGGAAGGAAAGAGTAATTAGATGAAGGTGAATAGAAATATTCAGAATTTCGAAGAAAAGAAAAATGATAAATCTGCTTCATTGAAAACGATTCTTCACTTTCATAAAGTGTTACTAATCAGGGATATTTAACAGATTGTGGGGCCCTAACGAAACAATATACATGGCTTTTAAAAAATATTTTATTCAAACTGACTAACAGTTACCTAATTTTTGCATTTGTTTGAGGATGAGCTTTTTGAAACTAATCTAATTTGAGCCAGCACTGTCTGTTGAATGGGACAGTAGCTCTGCATGAATAGTACATATGCCAGCCATCTCGTCAACCGATTTGACTATGATTAAAAGTGAATCTGATCTCAGCAGTGGTTGCTTTTTGGTTCAACCTCACGTAAGCAATGAAATAAAATCTATTATGGCCAGATACACATTATTTTTCATACCTTCTGCTTTCAGTAGCAATAAAAATGGGAAGTGATAAATTGGAAGTGTCCTGAAATCTTTTTGATGTCAAACAATACTCAGGTTGGAAGACATCAGGCGAGTCTCTTGTGTCTAGAAGAGTGATTCTGTAAACATATTCATAAAGAGAGAAATCATATTGCCAGCCAGCTTCTGACAATTAGCAGAACACTCTCCAACATCCAGCGTCGGTCGCACAGCGGTAGAACGCTTGCCGACCATGCACATGGCCTGGAGTTCGATCCCCGGCCGATGCACTCCTTTACGTCGCTAAGCCGGTAGTAGGGCCGGCAAAGAGGTAAGGTTGGGCATGAGGGTAGCAACTCCATCCCGTAAAAATAAACACCACTGCTACCGAAACTTCAAGTCTCCAGCATGAAGCCCTATGTTCCACTGAGAACGTAAAGGAATAAAAAGCCCAGCATCCAAGCCTAATAAAGTCATTCATATCTGCATCGAAATCACACGCGCGCACACAAAATGGTGAGAGTAAGCAAATCTGGAGTACACTGCTGATAATTCTACGTAGGCCCTAGCGCCAATAGCATAGACATTTCCGGAAATCCACAATACTTCCCTATTGATGAGGGCATATTTTGTCTTAAGACCAAAAATTTTGAAGTGTTTGTATTCTAAAACTGTCGAACATAGCCAATACATTCATGTACATGTCTGAATCCCGTCTTGTTTTTTTTTCGGGTGTTTTTATACTCTACTTCACTCACCGGTTAACGACTAGACCCTAGGCGAGTGGTTATCATATTAAGACTTATCTCCTTTTTTGTAGAGAACAATACCACTTTTCTGAGTTTCTGGAAAATAACCGATTCTAAACCAACACGTTTAAATGCTTCTGGAGTGGAACTGTCATGTTCTTCTGCTCTGCTACATTTCGAACTAGGAATAACTTACACATTTCTGACCTAAACTGATATTCTCATCCTTTTCATGTTCAGTTAGGATGATGGACAGTTGTACGCCAATTTTGACTGATCTTTGAAGTAACCTACCCAACGTCCCAGATGTACGTTTGGAGATGTTAGGGTGCCATTTCTTCTCGAAAACTATTTCATCTATCAGTTTTTGTAAGGCACCGCTAATGAGAAGTCATGAAGAAAAATACTTCATAGTGCATTTCTACTCCTTTCATCTTTATTCAGAAAGCTATCCAGGTTGATGAAGAAGTCCATTATAGCCAAATGACCATAGTTTCCAAACGGTAGGACACTTAACAGTTTAGAAACAGTAAGGAAGCTGTATTATAAAATAACTCCATAAAGTTATTCAGTTGTATCAATAATAAATCCTCTAAGTGAATTGTTCAGTGTGACTATTTTCCTAGCTTTCACGCCACTTCCAAGGAATTTCGTTTGGCTTAGTACAAGGCAGGGTTTAGCTATTCTTGTGATTCCACAGTTCTCTGAATTAGACATTTGAACACCCAAGAAGTACACTAATTAACATTCTCTATTTTCAGAAAATGGAATGAAGTATATTTAATAAACAGGTAATTATTTGCAATAACAAGCAACACAGAACTCTGGTAGAGAACTAACCTATCGCTCAAAAAATATACGGGAGGAAATGGATTGCACATACGTTGAGAAGACAGTCAAATGACATAACACACTAGGCTCTTAAATGGAACCCGAATGGGAAATGGCGAGTTTGGCGTCCGGGTGTAAAATGGATGTGGTCGTATGAAGATGAAACGGAAGTCAGCGTCTTCACCTAGGAGCAGGACTATATCATCTGTATATTTTAAGTCAGAGATTATTCCCTGGTGGTAAAAGGTCAATCCTTGAGTCGCTGAAGTCAGCAGTTAGGGTTAATTCCATTAGTACATCTATAATGAAAGTGAGTAGAAATGGGGACATTAGGCGTCCCTGTTGGACACCACTTCAGGTGACAACTCACCGTAAACTCTCACCTGACTGGCTGTATGAGTTCGATTAGTGCGGCTTTATGCCAGTAAATTGTCCCACAAGATGCCCCCTCTGACGTTCCGGTCATCTGTCCTGAGAACTAAAGTGCCACTTTTCTCGAAGATTATCTTGCTTAACATTTGCCTTTTGCAGCCTGTCTGTCTGCTTGGCGTTGCACATCACCGTATCATGTTACTCCGTACAGACAGTCATTCTCCCTTTATTCAAAATCCACAAAGGGGAATGTATGAGAAGCGTTTATTCGCTGTATTACTAGCTGTATATAATAACATAACCTTCGCTGAGGTGATTTACTATTGTAGCGAACTTTTCAGTACACCCAACTTGGGCACTGTAGTAGAATATAACACCACTACGGATAAGATTTTATTTTGATAAATCACACAGTAATATTAACTGATGTTCCGAGCACAAATTATTGCTCATAAACATATCAAGTCGACTGGAAGTATGTTTCGGTCATTTGGTTAAAACACTGTTAACACAGGTCCTAGACACATTTACCACATGCTTTTGCTAGTTCACATTATGAGTTATACTGATCAGTGAAATAACTAATTCCTGGATGTACTAAGAAAGAAAATCTATAAGCCGTAAGTGATAATTATTCATCTGTTCGACAAGACCGACTGTCTGATTTTTACAGTAAACATACTCTCTGATATCAGCGTCTGTGAAACAACACAATAAGAGACAGGAAAGGTCTGATCGGTGATGTAACCAAACTAGTTCACTAATACATGAGAAAATTAGTTAACGTGCATACTCTTTCTTTGCAGCATGCGTTAAGCGCAAACCGTAGCTTAAACTACACAAACGCCTTACTTTTAACACACTTTGAACGACGAAACATACTCAAAATAAAAAAGTGAATGATAACCCCTATTGTTTGCATCAAAAGATATGAAAAACGCAGACAACCACTGATAGACGGGCCTGTATCCATTACTAGATAACTTCTACACTGTTTCCCTTCAGTGCTTTACGCGCTATTGAATTAACGGTGTGCATTGGAAGACAATAACACTTCTCATAGTAAAGTATAAAATTTATTTCGAATTTTTTTAATAAATTACAAATTTGACTGGGTACGAAATAGGTATTTATATAAATATATCGTTTAAGCTGGTATGAAATATATCTGTGAGGATTATAAAACATGACACTGAAATATTCATTATGTACCACCTTTATATAAATTCATATTTCTAGGAGTAAAATTCTGCAATGGGTGTTGGTCAGTTTATCGGGTCTTACATCTACCTACGCCTTTTAATCTTTAATGGAATGAAGGAATAAAATCGGAGTTTCTGTTGTGTTGAAACACTGCCATATTAAGGTATAAAATAGCAAATATTAAATTAGTAGTAGTAGTAGTAGGAAAATACAAAAATTGAGCAAACACCGAAAGTAAGAGGAAGCAGAAAAAAAGGAATAAAATCGACAGTTTACGTATGTCCTAAACACAATCCTGAAAAATTACTATAATCCCAGATTTTGTGTTCTTTCCTATGTAAGCAGGGAAGTTAGGCATACACAAACAGAATGCGTTGTTCAATTTATTGCTATGTGGGAAAGATATAGGGTAATAATAATGATAATAAAAACGGTAATGATAGTAACCACAATAATAAATAACAATAACAATATCGACGGTAATAAAAAATATGATTTAAAGCAAAACAAATAGCTAGACAATCAGGCTTTCCAATGCAGTAATTTTTTCGACTCTACAATATCTGCAATATTATATAGAAGAAGGTTACACACACACACACGCAAACATTACATTGATTCAAATTGATCGACTCTCTTCTTTGTATTACCTTCACGAATAGCTCTTAAAGTACGATACTTATCCATTCCTCTGTTGACATTATCTTCGTAGTGAATGTCAACAGCCTGCATTTTTTGACGATTACGAACAGCATTCAAGTCTTGACGTAGTAATTTCAATCGTGTAGCATGATCTTGGTCAGTATCTGCTTTGGACTGTCGGAGTTCATCATCTACGGCATCGACAGCTTGTAATTCACTTTCTACAGCAACAAAAAAACAAATATTAATTGTATATAGTGGATATAAAAATGGGTGAAGAATTGTAAGACTTATAATGCACACAGCTCACCTCACCAGAGACGTTGGGAACACTTCCAAGTGATGTTTTAATTCACAAGTGCATAGTTTCATATTACTTAATTTTATTTTAAATATAACACAGTGACAGTTTTAACAACTGGGTGACGTTTCGAGTATAAATTATTGTTCATGATCATATCAATTTTAGTCACAAGGTTTCACAATTTGTTTCATATATATATATATATATATATATATATATATATAAGGAACATCAGAGATCTTATGTAGGAACCTTAGTGAGGCTGGAATTACGGTGGCATTCACACCAACCAAACAACTCAGAGACAAACTTTGTCGGCTTAAGGGACAGATCCAACTAAGAAAAATAATATAATTCACTAAATACCATGCTGTAATGACTGTGAGGTCAATCATAGGTCAGTCAGACTAGTAGATTGGGATTATCGGAACATAAAAATTTAGATAGACCTAGAACGACTGACCCTGTTAAGTTAAATAACCTACAGAAAAACTCAGCCATTGTACTGCATTCACTTGGATTTTATCACAGAAATAGGGTGGGACAGGATGAACGTATTAAAAATTGATATGGTTAGGTAGAGAGAGAGGTTAGTCACTGAATCTTTGTTTATGGATTCAACACTGAGCACGTGCAGTCAGAATGACACAACGCTTATACCGGAGATATAGAAATTGGCAACAAACAACAGGGAGATGAGATGCAGAGAGAAAGAGAAAAAATCTATGAGACAAATTGTGAAGCAGTGTGACTGAATTGAATGATTATGAGCAATAGTTAGTGTTCGACACGTCATCCAATTGTTAATACTGCATCGCTGTGATATTTAAAATAAAGTTATCTAATATGTACTTACATTCTACCACAGTGCCCAAGTTCTACACTTAAATTAAGTGCAAAGTTTCTTGTCAACGAGCGGAATACAGTTTGAAATAGTTTTTACTAGCTATATATCTATACAACCAGTTTTAGACTGTTACCCTTGGTGGTGTTCAGAAGTTTTCTGGAGAGGGGAAGGTGTGACCGGTGAACTGGTTGCTCAAAGGTATCAAATTTTTTAAAACATGCGAGTTGTGACGACCAATATTTTGGGGGTATGTGATGTCAAACTCATTGTTCGCAGAATCTATTTAGTGAGGACTACAGTATGATCACATTTCAAAGTGGAGACACACAATTCCGATGTATGCATTGTTCGATCATCTTGCTGCTGGTATTCTGGGGAAACCAGGAAAACCACTGGTTGCCTGCAGATGCGACTCAATCTGTCATTCCACGGAAATCATGCTTCGCGTTGTTCTCGAAGGTTACTTAGTACTTTTAAATAGTTAAAATTTGTTCACTAAAAGTGATAAATCAACCCGTGTATATAACAGCTAACCATCACAATCCTGTTTTTCTCCATTGTAACGTTTTAATTCTTCTTCATGCTGTGCACGAACACGAGCGAGTTCACTTTCGAAAATGCGTTTCTCCTCTTCTCGTTCTTGAAGTAATTGTTGTTGTAGGCGGATTTGTTCATTGATCGCATCACGTTCTTGTTGAAGACGCTGACATTCCTCCATCGATTCTGCAGTCACCTGTAGTAGTAATTTATAAAAAGTAGTGCGATTTCAATTTCGACATATTAACGTTCACGTTCAAAAACGGTATGGTGGAGTCTTTCTTACAGTAAACGTCTTAAACTAATTATAATGGGTATAGGTGGTTGGAGACAGTTGGCAAGAAACTCTGGATTGTGCGGGTTGGCACTTGTCATGGACCTTGGCGGAACTAGAGTCCACTTGAGGCTTGTGACCCGCACCAGACAGTGCTGTTATTAAGACCAGTTATCACTGAGCTATTAGGGCCTACGATTGTCACCTGCTTAGCCCAGAATTTCCTTAGGACTGTGGTGACAGAACTCTAGGTACAGGAAAATTGTACATTAAAACTGACAATTCGAACAAGTTACGTGAGTCTTGTAATTCAAAAATTATCCCAGTAAATACACCTAGAAGTGCATATGAAGTTATCAGAATAGAAACTGGTAGATTTCATCATGAGCTGACATTGGTTAGAGAACCATTGGAAAACCTGGGAGTACTGCACAGCTGTTTCGTCCTAGTTTGGGAGTCTTCGGCAGTACGCATCCACCGGGGTTCTCACCCAGGACCTTCTGGTTACAAGACGAGCTCGTAGACCATTTAACCACTGGGACCCAAACCAATGGCCCATGAATTCTGACTCCTGCGCCTAAGTGTTAACACAGACAGGCGATTTAGAGCATTCAGCGGTGAACTTTGCTAACCCAGCGTAGGATCCCAAAAGAGTCTAAGAATTAAGATAGCGCATTGAAATCTAAATTGCTTAAGTATGAGCAAACGTTGACCCACATATACAACAGCTGCTTCACATTTCAAAGATTCCACCACGCCATCTCAAAGCTGCGGTTTATGAGAAATAAATTGTTATGTTAACGTCAGACGAATAATACTTTTTCACCTCTACATTTGGTAGTGAACTGCCACGAACCAGACATTTTTACAAAAGCAGTTCATAATAGAATGAATAGACGGAAACTAGATGGAAGTCTTTTTGATTAAGCGAGTGAACCAGGTGGAAGCATACGATGTTAACTGAAGATGAAAAAGAGGATTTGATTACCATTTCCAACTGGCGATTTTTCTCTTTCAAGTCTTCAAGATGTTGTCGTGCGCGTTTCTCCTCTTCCAGTTGTGCGTTTAGTTCGTTAACTTTGGCTTCATATTGTTCTAAAACTGACTGAGTACGTGCATAAGTTTCCTCGTTTTCTTGCATTAAACGTTCCATTTCACGGAATCTTTTTTCTACCACCTCTCTTGCTTGTCTTTCAGCGCGTAGTTTTTCTCTAACATTTATGAACGAATACGAAATATAAAGGTTTAATACAATCACTATTTATATATTTCCGTTAAAAAATCTAAACTACAGAGGTAAATTAATACGTCCGAAAGTGCAGTCAGTGACAGTCTTACTACATTACAAAGCACGAGTTTACTTATTATCAACTCTTCATAGGTGCATTTGGTAAACGCACAGCACCTGATTTTGTAAGTTGAGAATTTTCCTGGTAATATGAACTGCCAAAAACAATTAATGCGTAAATATGTCCGTTTCATAAGTTTCTCTAATCCAAATCTCAGGTCTCTGTACAAAACATAAAGTGGGAGTACTATGGAAATTCGCTAAACACCTACTTATTTCACAGTAATTTAAATAGCATGTATAGTTTTATGTGAACATATGCTGATATTTTGTACATGTGCCCTGTCATCATAAGTAAAGGGCTTCTGGTAAATTAAAATTTCTGTTAGATTGTGGTTCGCGAAGCTATCTGCTAACCAAACATCTGCATTTTTTGTGACATTTCGAGGCACATATATATGGGTGAAAAATCAGCTGGGCTTTATGGATTTCTCCTGTGGAGTATTGCTGGCTACCTATACTTTCAGCTAACTCTACACCGACATATTTTAATGTTTCAATTCAAATTGTACAGGCATTAGCACAAATTTCAATTACTTTGGTCGTAGACATTAAGATTCTTTACTAGAACCCTAAGGAATTATGGTCTGTGTAAATTTTCATATACAAGCCGTATGCTTTAGCCTGGTTAGATTGGATTATACAAAAGCAGGCAATAAGCTTCAAAGCTTCATATGAAAGAAAGCGAATTACCACTATGACTGCATTTACGTGATACGATATTACGTTTTTGACAACAATTAAAACATACCTTTCGGCTTCGCGTGTAGTTTGACGCTCCTTGGCTTTGACTTTCATTTGCTGAACCTCGATGGAGTCTGGTTGCCGTCGAACAGCATACAACCTGTGGTTGCCAGTGGAAAGATTCAGGATAAGCTTGCACGTGTGGGTGCTATCGGTGTAGAATGTGAATCCCTGGAATAGGTTGTGAAAATGAAATGCAGATGATACTATAAGGTGCTACAACTATTTACTATATGGTCGCCGGTGGTAAATAGAGTAGTGTACCGTGATAGCACCTAAGAAAAGTACCAATCGGTAAAATGATTTCCGTTCGTGAGTAATGGGAATATAATTGAGATGCGTATAGAGAAAACAAGGGTATATTTACAAAAAAACACTCTCAAACATGAATCTTTCGACTGTGCACTGTAAAAACAGATAAGGGAGTGGTAAGGTGTTGAGATTACCAATGCTTTATGATACGTACAGCTATCCGTATTGATGCTCAGTTTCATGTCAGACAGCATAGCACCGAGGATTGACAAGAATGTTCTGACCACATCAAAAAAGAATAAATGAGCTTACGTGGACGTCTCAAGATGTAACTTGTTTCTGACACATTTTTCTACATTTGACACTACAGTGGGACTATGGTAGGTAGAGATTAGTATTTCGAAGTTCCTGTCGATATTAGAGTGTTCCTGTGGCAGATGAGAAGATCTAAACAACCCTACCATATGAAAAATTTCCATGATTTGCTTTAGATACATAACTGCAACAAAAACTTGCACAGCAGAACTCCGGTTCTAAATGTTACTAGGTCAGAACTTGCCGTGAAAATAGAAAGGTAAATGCTGGGGCTAAGACCTTCAGGATAAAAAAACACACGGTAGACTGGACTGTGAGTACCAGATACCTGTCAGACGACAAAGAAGCAAGTGGCAAGTGAAAAACGTGTCGGGTACACTTGTTTGATCCTCTTTAACGGTAACTATCGAAATCAAAGTACAGTTCAGCGGTAAAACATGATTTCGTCTTCAAGTGGTCAGACAACACTAGTGAGCTCCTGACACTAGCAACACTAATTCAGGATTCCGTCGAAGCCGTAAGACTTGACTATTAGATAATTTGAATTGGCACGTTCCTAGACGAATGAAAAGTCCCTATTTGAAGTTGATTTGCAGCTTGCTAAAATGCCATTATTTTCCCATCAGTTTAAAACATACAATGGATGCGGATTCAGAGTGAGGGCACTTCAAAAGGCTTTTACATAAAGTATTAGGCAGCCATCTTTAGCACCTAAGGTGATCTACCTGAAACAAGTCACTGGAGACATCATATTAGTCTGTGACTACTTATTCATTTAACATTTTGTGTACGCTGTCATGTAAATACCTACATAACATTTACTCGGCAAAAAAATAAAGCACTCACCTTTCCCGATGCTTCGGCAGCTTTGACAGAGAATTTTTTACGCGAATAAGACAATTTTTGGATTTCATTCCAGGGGAAGCTTATTTTAGGTGTCAACCTGTGGGGAAGAAAAGGAAAGTATCATTGAAAAGCTTTTTGAAGCCCGAGGGAAACCAGCCAACTATACATGGAAAAGTGGTGTTTGCATGGCGAAATGCCTGTCAGACTGAAGTGATGTTTCAGATTCCACTGAGGACATGTACACGAACTGTGTTAATAGTCACGATCGGTCTAATGGATGTCATAATTAATGTACATAATGCAACAAAAGTCTAGTCGGTTCGCCTACATAGATTTCAATATTAACTCACACCAAAGCCTATTTCATTTCCTGAGTCGTTGATCAAAACAAAAAGCATATAAGGTTTTACATATTCAGACGAATCGTAGCTATCGGTTATGCACACTTAAGTTGTAAATGATACAACGGACTAACTAGCGGGTGGAATGTAAAAAAATAGGGGGTACTGCCATAAACTGCTTTTTGCAAAGAAAATAGACGTAAAGGGAATACTTACTGGTTACCATACTCATAAATATTTAATCCTAAAGCATCAACGCCCAGCCACAGGTCTGTTTGCTTTGCATTTCTGATTTTAAAATAAGATACTCCGCACATTTCTAAATCTTGAGCTATTTTCAAGTACTCCATAATAGCATCTTCTTTCGACATATCTCCATGGGATATATGGCATTTAACTATTTTGGCTTCCCATTCTTCGTCCGTTAGGTTGTACTGTTCTCGCACGCTGCATCAAGGAAAAATAAAAAAGGCGAAGTGATATATACGATTCATGTCAAGATAAAAATATCAGTGTGGGTCCCGATTTTGGCGCGATACTATTCAATGTGTAGCCAACAATAACACATAAACCATGTGGTGAAAATTCCGACCATGACGGTTCCGGAATATCCAGATAAGCTCATCACCTACTTTCTCTTATTTCATATTGACAACTACTTTGGAAAGCAAGGGATCTGTTGCCGATTCTGAAAGACCTCAGTCTTACGAAATCATCAGACAGTAAAGAAATTTCCGTTTTAAGGTGTTAATAATGCGTCCAAAGGTTAGTAATATGATCACTAACTATTATACAAACAATCATAATGTTACTGTGAAGAATTAATAGACCATTTCATGCGCATACATAACTAGAGAACCCAAATGAAAACACACCCATTGCCAAGTAGACTCAGGTATTTCCGCTTGGGAACGACTTACTTTGGTGGCAGATATCTGGCGACTTTCAAAAACCCTGTGCTGTGGACATTCGGATCGTATTTCCCATGACGAATTAAAGCTTGGTACGAAGCAAGGAGCAGTGCAGTATCTGCAGGGCAATAGATCGTTCCGTTGACGATATCCTCTTTAACCTAAGAACTCAAAATCTCATCAGAGGAAACTTACGTCGTAATAAAAGTATAACCTGGTGATTTCTTCAATGAGTTCTTCGGATACCTCTTCGGGATAGTATTTTACCTTGAAGCAAAACCGATATCGTCCATCTTTGTCTTTCTGAGTCAATGGTATCTTTTTGTCCGTTTTCACCCACGTTAGTCTATTTTCATGATCTGAGTATTGTAGACCGAAATACCACATCTCTCTAATACCTAGAGCATTGCAAACCTAACCTCCTGTTAATTTATAACTACTACCTCACCTGAGAGAGGAGCTGTCGTCCAGAAGCATTACTTTTCAGACAGAACTCCAGCTGAGCGTCCATCGTAACAACAGTAACAGGTACCTGAGCAATAAGAACAACCAAAAAAAACCAACCAATTTCGGCATCTTTGCGCGCAAGCCAATCCTATCGAATTCAAATAAGGCGCTTAAGTTTACATCGCTACTGATAGTGAACTAACTTAACAAATTCACAATTGCAAACTTCAAGCTTCAAACCTTATGCAGTGGGATAGCTTAATCGAAGTTTCTCATGGTTTTCACAGATTGTTTTAAGAAACGAAATTTAAAGTGATCCTTCCTTTTCTGATGGTGCGAGAAGAAACGAAAGGTATGGGTAAAATTGTCTGATCTACCATTATGGTGACACCAGAGTACAGTAGAGTATTTTTCCCGGTTGAGACCCAAATTTTCTTCGAGAGTGTTCACCTAAGGAACCAATACCACTTTATTCATAAAAGACTTCCAGTTATTTCAACCCAATGTGAATTCTAACAATTCTCTATTTGGCTGCGGTTTAATTGATTTTTGACAATGACCTCTTAGAGGCATTATAGAGATCCAACAGATCATAGTACCCGATATCTAAGTTGTCATATAATATATAACAAGATAACACAAGGCTACCCGTACAGCTACAGCAAAAAAAAAGAAATGATTTCAGTTTTCGTTTTCAATATGCAGGTGGGAATACTTTGATTACCTCACTGCTTACACTCTGTATTGTTTTCAAAACTCGCTCTTGTGTCCTGAAGAATAGGCTAGCAGCCTGTTTTTTATATCGAAAATGTGCGGAGTGATCAAAATGTATTATTATGTAAACTCACTACTGGGAAAGCTTCAATTGTGGGTGCAATGCACTATGCAGGTGACTGTAGGTTGTGGCTGGTAAATCTAATCGTTCCTTTGCGGAAGGAAACTCTATTCTTCACAAGAATGACTCCAAGTAAGACAGCCAGCTGAGGTGAATAGCTGTATTCTTATTGGAAATGGTTACCAAACTGTGGCGATTTGATCATTCTCTTACCTGAACTCACTGATCCTCACTGTAATTATTCATCCTCGAAATCTTACTGTCTTCTGCAAGTAACGTGGTGAATTCAGAATTAGGGGTGCTTCGTTGATGTCTTTTCGGGATAGAAAAGGGTCTAAATGGTGCATTGTGTCTCCTATGTCAAAACTGGCTCTCACTCAAGGATTACTCCTCTCGCACTTACTCCTTGCTTCATACCACGTAAAGGCCCATATCCATTCCGAACCCTACCACTTTACACCGTAGGCCCTAGAGTGATATTTTATCAGGCGTATTGCTAATTTAGCCGAACATATTGCCCCACAGGTTTTTATTCTTATTTTCCATTCAATTTTCACCTGCTACCAATTAAATCATTCAGCAGGATAATGTCCGTGAGAGGCTAATCAGCGCTTCCGACGGCTACTCATGGTTTTCCACTCTGATTGCTACCTTTTATTGGTTGAATGTATTTATAGTCATTTTACCGTCTTTCTGACGTGTAAACGTCAGGTCAAGTACGTGGTAAGATATGTTGGTACATTTATATTGTGAGAAAATACACATCTAACCATAGCCAGGAGACATGGTCTCGGCGGGTGAATGCAGCTGCCTACGATGAATCCCGTGTTTCTAATGACGCCAGCAAAGTGGTAGCAAGATAAATAAGTTCGGCTGCTGGGAATTTGTTGTCTGACTGTGATCGTTAGTGTAACTACTAGCCTCAGTTTTGTCAACGACAGTGTCATCAGATCCTATCTTAATAATTAATCTTGTTTTAGTCAGCTTCTCGGGTATCAAAAGTCTAGTTGCCTCTTGAATGAAGACCCCTACTGGTTCACAAAGACACTGAGATCCTGATTCACTGCTGATATAGAGGCTACTAGGTATGAAACTTTAGAGCGTCATATAAGGGAATAAGTCCACTTGAACTATGTACAATTCATCTTCAGCAATCAGTTTGGTGCGCTGGTGGCACAGCGGTAGAGTGCTCACAGACCACGCATTTAGTCCGAGGTTCGATCCCCAGCCGACTCACTACTTTGCCTCGCTAAGCGAGTAGTAAGACTGGTTTATCATTACTGAGGTCACACAGCATTATCATGAACTACTGGGGTCTATAAAATAAGTGCGTGGCCACTCCATTGTGCTGGATTGGTGGGTCTCTGCAAACTATACATAGTCCTTACCTAAATACATGCTTAGAAGGACGTAATTATTACATACTCCTTTCGTTAACTGGAGCAGTGCTAATGGCTGTTGAATCACCAATGATATGTAATTACGTATACATGTATATGTCCCTGAAAGAGCGATTTTATTGCATATACCCCCAATGACGCTTGTTGCTATGTTGCCATTGGCTTCAAGTGGCCTTGGTTTTGGGGGAAGATTTAACTGATGTAATGTTGTCATTTCATAGACATAACTCAGGCTCATACGTGAAAGAAAGTTATTATCCTGTAATAAGGATAATTTGTTCAGAAGGTAAGGAGGAGGTTATTTTTCAGTTTATTTGTGTATATACTATTGTGCACCGAGTTGCATTGAGTTCTTAGTGCAACTGTATGTAACTGCATTTACATAAAGTGAAACATTACGAATGCTCCTGTTTCTAGAATAAAATACATTATTATTATCATTAAGCTCAGTAATGAATAATAGAATTCCTTCCACGTCAATTTTATTTAATTAAAGTTGTAATCTGTGTAGGCCCTTAAAGGAATAAATTCGGCATGGAGAACTCCTATGTAAACCGAAAGTGCTTTTAGTTTAGTAAATCTTACTGACTGCCTGTATAAATTTGATATTTGTCAAGTGTTTATTTCAAATCCGCTGGAGTATTCATTAAAGTAAAAGTTGTAGTGCATAATTCCAAGACTTGTTGTAGTCATTGGTATTGCCAGGATACCACTTACTCGTTTTATGCAACCGAAATATACAAATCTCGCTTTATTGAGGAAACACTATAATGCCTGCAAAATTATTGCGTCATTCAATGAGTTTCATAAATTCTACAGAATGTTTTCTATTCAGTGATTATTGTTTGCGAATTATCCGAGAAAACACATTTCCAATTGGGATGTAACACAAGGCTGAATTCTTAAACTGTCATCCTTATATCATTTCAATCCAATCACACATATATCAGTAGGATAGTCTATAAATGACTTTAGAGACTTATCATCATCATCAACTTACAGTTTACTGATGATACTGTACACCTAGACTATGAGAAGTAAACCCTGAAACTGGAAGATATGAAAAGAATACCGGTGTTTGATTATAGGTGTCTGTGTTCTATCTCATGATTAAAGCAGTATAATATGGCGATTGCTCTTGAGGTTACGCATAAAGTGTTAGGTGAGGAGGGTAAGTTAGTCTTCAAGGTAGGGAAGCTGAATAGGTTGAGATGGCTATAACACGTGATTGCATACCAAGCCATCGCCTTCCTCGAGGGATAATGTTAGCCAGCACATGTTAAGGTTCAAAATTTGTTTGGGTCGGTCGAATGAAAAGCTGGTATTGGTTCATAAAATCGTTGACATTCAGCTAGAAGAACTACTAGATATATGTCTGCAAGTCTTTGTTTATGGCACAGATGCATTTACTCTGCGTAATCTCACGTATCTATTCAACTCATGTTGTCACCATTTATTTTCCCTCAAATTTTCGCTCGTTAAACTTCCATTTAGTTTTATGTCTCTACCTTTGTGTGGTGCATGGAATGTAGTACACTAAGCTGCTGGACTTCTTCGCGAAGTCATACTGAAATACAGGCAGAATGACACAGACCAGGCATAACTGAATGCGAAACACTGAATAATGATCTCCAGAATGTCAACAAATGATAAGTGTAGTTCTGAATCTGGTTCTTTACTAACTGAAAAATGGATACCTTTCAGTAATCTCTTCTTCCACCCGGGATTCGTCTCCTACTTTGCAAGTGTTTTTTGTGCTTTATCACTTTTGTGCTAAGCTTTCAGTTATTCAGCATATGCCGTTGTTGACTAAGGACCTAGATGACATTAGTTCAGTAAGGTTTCGGTCGTGCAAACACGAGTCCTGTGCAGGTGATTGGTTGCATTATCATTTCTCAAATGGAATGCAGCATACTGTATATTAGGGTAAATCCGCCTTGCTTGCTGAAGGTTGTGTTCCTCAGGGTAATGTTATCTCTCCTTTTCTTTTTTCTCTCTCATCTTACATGACTTTTCTCTTTCTAATGAGAGCAACTTTGTCAAATACGCTGGTGATCTGACCGTCTCACTTCATGTCATGTCACAATGTGTCACCAGGAGGACTTTATTTTTGAGTTTATATATATACTGTTGCGCATAGAGTTGCACTGCGATTCCACATGTAGCAAAAGATTATGAATACCTTGCTCTTCTCTTCTGCATAAGAAAGTTACTTCACAAGAACCGCTATATTAAGCTCAGTAAGGACAAATATGAATTTCTCCACTTCACTGTTGTCAGTTAATTTGTGAACTGTGTAGGCCCATAAAGTAATGTATTTGGCGTGCATGCTTCAAAGTGAAATCAGGAGTGTGCATGTTGTATTAAATCTTCTGCGCTTTCTGTATGGATTCCATGTTCATGAAGTGACCATTTAACAACTGCTGAGTGCTGCATGTGATCCAGCTGAAATTATAACTGATAATTCCAAGAATTTCTGTCGTTTTCATTGGCAGCGGTTCACAGCCTATTGATTTTACACAAGTACAATACCCATTGCTCACTTTACTGAGGAGACACTAGCTATGATTCGAGAGATGTAGTGCGTCAGTATGTGGATTTCATGAATCTGTAGATTGCATTCCATTCACTTAATACTGAAACTAAACTATGAGGGAGCTGATATTTCCAAGAAGGATACAATACAAGGCTCATTTCTACAACTGTCGTCCTTATTTTAGTTCACTTTCATCATACATGTATTAACAGAATTGTGTGTCACTCACTTCAGGAACTTACCAGGGAAAAGTCTTGTCAACTTAGTGTATGCTAATGACATTGTCCACCTAGTCTGTGAGAAGTGACCATTGAAACTGGAAGATATGAAAAGACTACTGGTTTTTGATCATAGTGTCTGTTCCCTTTCTTCTGCGTTAAGTAGTCTAATATGGTGAGTAATTTTGGGGTTAAGCTTAGTGCTAAGTAGAAATGTGACTCCGAAAGTTGTTAATAACACAGATGCATTCACTCTGTGTAATCCTACATATCTGAACAACCATTGTGTTCTTTCCATATCACTGTTCGTTTTCCATGACATTTATGCTCATTAGAGTTCCATTTGATTTCTTTTTTCTCTACCTTTGTGTGCTACATGGAATGTGATAACGTAAA